GGTGGTGCTAGTAAGGTGCCGAGGGCGGCCGGAGCTTGGCTTGCCTAGGGCAGCCAAATACATAAATACACCACTGATAATGGGTAGGCGCTAGAGATGCACCAATACCATTTTTCCCAGACAGAGTACAAGACCCGTACTTTTCCCTCAAGTACTCATCGATACCTATTACCAATACTTTTTTTTACAATACAGAATAATGATTTTAGGACAGTGGTGAAGCTCCAGTGCCCAGTCACGGCTGCAAACGCTGAGCCCCTGGTAGTTCTGCCACTGGCTCCAAGCTGTAGAGGGACTACAAATCTCAGCAATACATTATACAGCAATGCGGTATACCACCAGCTATACAAGACTGTGAATCACAGCAATACATTATATAGCAATGCGGAATTGCAACTGGCTATAGAGGACTACAAATCCCAGCAATGCAGAATACCACCAGCTATAATGGACAAATCCCAGCTATGCATTTTACATTAATGCAGAATAATATGAAGCTACATACTTTCTGCTGCTCTGGTGTGCCAGCCTGATGTCTCCAGCGGAGGATCTCAGGTTGCTGTGTGGGGTCTCAGGAGGCTGTGTTGAGTCTATGGTGGGCTGTGCAGACTCTCAGATGTCTGTGCAGGTTCTATGGTGGGCTGTGCAGGCTCTCAAGTGGCTGTGCAGGTTCTATGGTGGGCTGTGCGTACTCTCATGTGGGCTGTGCAGGATCTATGGTGGGCACCGCAGGGTCTATGGTGCGCTGTGTGGACTCTCAGATGAGCTATGTGGGGTCTATAGTGGGCTGTGCGGATTCTCCAAAGCCTGTGCAGGTTCTTTGTTGGGATTATGGATACTACGGTGGGCTATGCAGACTCTCAGGTGGCTGTGCGGGGTTAATGGTGAGCTGTGCAAGCTCTCAGTTGGGCTGTGCAGGTCTATAATGGGCTGTAGAGACTCTCAGGTGGCTGTGCAGGTTCTATGGTGGGCTATGAGATTCTCAGGTGGGCTATGCGGGGTCTGTGGTGCATCCCTACTAAGTGCAATTATGGACAGATTGAAC